TTGATTATGTATAATATGACAGGTAAAAATAGATAAATAGTGAACATAACCCACAAATATGTGGATGTGATTCAAAATTATTCAATTTTTTTCTAGCATAACTGTAGTCTCATGCCAAATCACATTTAAAATAGCACAATAAAGCACAGTGGACATCTGTATTATTAGTAACAGGTAACATTTCAAATCATTTACAGAAAATTTTAACACATTCTCGGTCAAGAGTTGTTTTACAAGCAATGATAGAAGCTATAAAAGCAAACAAAAGATTTGAAGTCTTCATCACAGTATCTGCACCGGACAATAGTGGGTAAGCATCTACAATAAATAATTAAAATGGATGCAATTAAAAAAAAAAAACTAATTGCCATCATCATTATCCTGCCCTTCTCCCAGTCACCTGGGGTCGGCGCAACATGTTTTCTCCTTCCATACTCTTCTATCATATACCATTTCTTCGCTCACTCCCCTCCTACCCATATCGTCTTTCACACAATCCATCCATTTCTTCTTAGGTCTACCTCTTCCTCTAAATCCTTCCACATTCATAGTTAACACTCTCTTAACAACCTCATTTTCATTCCGTCTCATCACATGTCCATACCATCCCAAACGTGCACTCCTCAGCTTCTCTGTCACAGGTGCCACTTTCAGACTTCCTCTAACATATTCATTCCGTATTCTATCCATTCTCGTTACTCCACACATCCATCGCAACATTCGCATCTCTGCTGCATGCAATCGCCTTTCATCCGCCACTTTCGTTGTCCAACAAGCTGATCCATACAAGACGGCAGGCCTTATTAAGGTCTTATATATCTTCCCTTTTAGGGGAAGAGGGATGTGCGAGTCACATATGGTGCCCGTGACCTGCCGCCATTTCATCCATCCTGCGTGAATTAATAAACTAATTGCCAATGGTGTAATAATGACACCATAATTATTATGAACTCATCTCAAGTGCAACCTGTCATTGCATTCTAATATTTAAAATAATTTTATATAAACGGATGGAATGCTATTTAGTTTTAGTGACATTTTTACAACTTTACACGAGAGTAATTTAAAGTTTAAAATTTTGAAAAAATATGAAAAAATCTTCAGCGGTTTGAATATGGTAAACATAATTGAAGTTCAATTAAAAATATCGAATTGTTGATATTGATACCTAATAACACGGACCTTCACAAAGATAAATGTCGCTTAAACTAAATAGCTATTCACTCCTCGATATGAGAACTAGGCTATAGAAACAATAATGAGGGACAATGTTAGAGTGCTAAAGAAGTAACAGTATAAATAAGGTTGAAATTTTTGCCAATTAGCACAGACTCATACATGCCACGTATGCACTTAATGTTGTGCAAATTATATTTAACAACACACAAAGATGTAAGTAATTAATAAAAAATAAATAAAAATGTTTCAGTGAGGTGATGCACAAACAACTTGTGGCTGCGGGTGTGGACGCAACACTGATCTTAGACTCCGCAGTCGGCTACGTCATGGAACAAGTCGATATCGTAATGATAGGAGCTGAAGGCGTCACTGAAAGCGGAGGTATCATAAATAAGGTATGTCCTATTGATTTAAGTAATTACTTTTACGGTTTATTCTGGCGTTTTGTATGTGACAGATATTGGCTGGTTCGATGGTGTTTTTAAAAGGATGACGTCATCGTCGCTGACGCTATCTTCTTCATCATTATCACTGCCTTTCATAGTGATCGTAATTAAGAGGCACTTTTCCAATGAATTCCATTTATTACATTTCAAGTGTAGAGTGATAACAACAGCGAGCTCCGCCTCTTTCGGCTGCTCGAGTCGGAATGCTTTGTGCGCCAATAGTCACTCGTATTCATAGTAGAAAGTGTTCATGAATTCTCTGGAATACCGTCTTAAACATTTGTTGACATGCGTAACTTTAACTATTTTTAGTTAACTAAATAGTGGCGTGGCGCCGACATATATTATTCGTGATGTTTTGGAATATTTTGCAGTTTTTGTGATCACGGATGCCTAAGCTGTTAGGCGAATTTACATTACGAAATTAGTGGCGTGAAATTAATTTCGTGACATTAGTTTTACTAACAGTTTCACGTGTAATTTAATACTTTCGTAATGCATGCATTAATTTCATGCATGCAAATTAGTTTCGTGCCCTGCGCAATTTTTTGGTGAAATTAGTGTCATGCAACTAATTTCATAGTGTAGACGCGACGTGAAACTAATGTCGCGAAAGGGCCTACGCTGTGCGGACGTGTGTATTGTTAGTTCGGACGCGCTTCAAGCGTTGAAAATGGCAAACCAATGATGGAGTACAGAAAAAAATATAGATCTTATTAATGAATATCAGCGACAACTACAGTAAAAAATCAAAATTATCTTCACTCATTCGAAAATAGTTTTTATAGATCTCAGGATCTTCATCTGCTAATTCAGAGACTAACTTCATTGCACCTAAATGCCTTCTTGGTAACCATCCTCGAATCTACCAACGTCTTTTTTCTTAATAGTCTATTTTTAAGTTTATAGGTATATAAGCGTTTCTGTAGCTACATTGAATATAGCAAAATATAGCTTTGATGCTGAAGGCGCCATGGTTACTGCGATACTGTGGATTTCGCGACACTAATTTTTTAACGAAATTACTTTCGCATATATCGAAACTACTTTCGTGAAACTGAGTTCAACATGCATGACACTAATTTCGTAATGTAAACTCCGCATTATTCGTTGACGTTTGAATATTGTGAACACATGTGCACATGACAATTAAAAAATTAGTCTAAGATTCGAGAAAACTGAAGTAGTTGAAATAGTAGGTATAAAATAGCACACCATCAATTTCAACGACTTCCTTTGAACATTTTGAAATGAGATGCAAGTATCAGTCTTCCTTACCAAACAAAGGCATATTATTGTAAAAAAAAAACTAAAATAATCTTTCAACTTCCAGATCGGCACATACTCGCTTGGTATAGCAGCTTTAGAACTTAAGAAACCAGTTTATGTACTAACGGAAAGTTTCAAATTCTCTCGGATATATCCTCTAAACCAAATGGACTTGCCTAAGGAATTCAAATATTTATCAAACACGTTGAAAAGTGGTAAAGATCTAAGCAAACAACATCCATTGGTCGACTACACACCTCCCTCCTACATAACTTTATTGTTCACGGATTTAGGCATATTAACTCCATCAGCCGTTAGTGATGAACTAATTAAATTGTACCTGTAAATAATTTAGTATAATACGTAATGATTGAAATAAATTTTGTTTATAAAAACTGATCTTTTATTTTCTCCTGAATTGGTGGCATGGAATTTAAAGTTTACCAGAAATATGTAGATCTACAGTGGAGCTTAAGAAACGAGAATTGGATCGTTAGTGATTTTCAAAATTCTTCATATAATAGGAGATATGGAACAAGCTTTTGTAATAACGACCTCTGTAATGTTTTCCAGGCTTACTTTAAATAAAAGTATGCAACTGTCAAACTTGTTTTCCCCTTACACGACCCTACAGATTCATCTGATCCAATAACTCTTACATTAGATGCCTTTAGCTTTAACACTAGGAGCAAGCTTAGGGTCCCCGGTAAACGTACTCGTCGAACTCGGCAAAGAGTTCGACGTGCGACCTAACCATCAGCCCACTGAGTTTCTCGCCGGATCTACTCAGTGGATCACGATTCCGATCCGATATTAGATTCACTCGCGAAGCAGCTGTTCTTGAGTTGTTAGGTCTCTTTTGGAGGCGCTCAGGTAGCTGTTAGCAAATCCCACCCCTACTAGCTGAGCTCGTGCCCGTCCACCTGGGAATCCATTTACGGATACCCGGTCGAGGGGGGTAACGACCCGGGTTATGTCGGACTCCGGCGCCTCCTGAGAGGAAGAAGGGGAGAAGAGAAGGGCCGAGGTCCTTCACCTCCCCTAATTTCTCACAGGAGACTACGCCTTGAAAAAGGCGCGCGAAGCACTTGCCCCGCAGAACGACTACCGACTAAACCCCATGGAGCTCCACCACACCGACTACACGAAACTTACGGTACCGCGATGCGCGCCGAAAGTCTCGCCTTAGGCGGTACCCGTACTAATGTTAAGACGGGATTTCATCCCCGGGAAAATCCCGTAGAACCTCGTCTCGGGCGACACACCGTGAGCGGCGCACAAACTGGAAGTCTGAAGTCGTTGTGGCCTAAGAGATAAGACGTCCTGCATTCGTGTTGAGTGATGCACCGGTGTTCGAATCCGAGGCGGGTAGGTACTAATTTTTCTAATGAAATACGTACTCAACAAATATAAACGATTGGCTTCCACGGTGAAAGAATCCCATCGTGTAATAAAAATAAAACCCGCAAAATTATAATATACGTAATTACTGGTGGAAGGACCTCTTGCGAGTCCGCGCGGATAGGTACCACCACCCTGCCTATTTCTGCCGTGAAGCAGTAATGCGTTTCGCTTTGAAGGGTGAGGCCGCCGTTGTATACTTGAGACCTTAGAACTTATATCTCAAGGTGGGTGGCGCATTTACGTCGTAGATGTCTATGGGCTCCAGTAACCACTTAACACCAGGTGGGCTGTGAGCTTGTCCACCCATCTAAGCAATAAAAAAAAACTGGAAATGGGGGGCATTTCCAGTTTTTTTTTATCACTACCACCACCATTTATCCTTTAATCTAATAAATGTTTCCCAACAGAAAAGTTGTGCGTGCATTAGTACTTCATTTCCACAAACTAGATAAAACTAAAACGTTCTTATTTATGATGAGTTATCGAAGCTCTATGAGCACATTATTCACAACGGTTTGCATGGAACTCGATAGCTAAGACACTGCCTTTTTTTAATTACCTGAATTCTCATCGTTACCATTTGATCCAGCATAGTCTTCTTTTTTTTACCCATTCTGTTGGTTATCTAATTTGCTAAATAAAAATATATTATATCATATTGAAATAAACTTGAATAGAATTAGAAAAAAAAAGAAAAAAAACTTTATACTATTATCTGGCACTTTATTGTACGAAAGAATATTTACAATAAATCATACATATCAAATACTTTTGTTCCTTACATAAAATATATTTATTAATACGAGTTGCTCACTTTTTTTCCTGTTCTAATATAATGTTTGTACCGCCAAAACGATTGGCGCTTAAAACGCCAAAAGAGGCAAGAAAACGAAATTGAATAAAACAAAAACTTTTCCTATATCGATATTTTTTTTAAATCCGTGGAAGCACATAATAATATCACATTATTTTAAATCCGAGCAACATTCAACAAATAAACTTAAGGTATACTTGGGTTAATTTAATTATTTTCGTTAATATTACTAAAGGGCAGTGTAACTAATCTTGAGTTACACTGTGTATTGGTTCTTTCATTTGAAAAAAAAAATGAAAATGACGTAAAACGGTCTAATTATTCCTAATCCTAACATACATCACGTTTATTATTAAAGTCGGTTTCTGATGAAATTAAGTCATTAATTCCTTACAATCATTAGTCTAATCTTATGCACTTACGTACTTAAATGTTTGGATCGTGTTACTGCCATATATTGTTTTTTGTGTAACATAATATGGTTAGTCAATTACATAACTCAATTTTTTTTAGAATATTTGCATTTAATTCATACATTTCTTACAATACATACCAATTCTAACACGTTCTGAATATGAATATCTAAAATTTTTATGAATTAATACTAAACAATATATAAGGTTTAATATAGTTAAAATAACATTTATGAATTAAAAACACTTTTTAATGAAATGTTGTAATGTTTAAATTTTAATTAAAAAGAGCCACTCGAAGGAGATCCACACCTTATTGTTACAGTACGTAGGTACTGCGAATGTAAGTGTAAATTATAAATATTTTGACTTAAAGTTTATCAGTATATACCTACATTTTTTTTATTAAATAAAATGTTTTTATCTTCTTTTCTAAACTTTTCAAGGTTCCGGACATAATAAAAGAAATTTGCGATTTAATATTGTCAGTTGTTGTTATTTCAGATCATTCATAATTTCAAAGGTTATTTACAAACAATCAAAATAATTTTAAAAAGCGTCCGTAGGTACTTACTGGTAGAACCAATATTATATGGTTTGTTTGATTTAACTTTAATAATTTAAAATCGCCTTATATTTTAAATGGTCGTTAAATTGGTCCATGGATTTTAAAATGAATACTGTAATGGCACCACTAGCACAAATAATACCGAAAATTGTGCCAAAGGTAAGGTTATCTTCGAATCCAGTGTACAACTGAGATGAACATTGCTTTGTTGGTCGACTGTTTAATTACCCTGATTATTGCAACACGGACTTAGTGTTTGATTCCCTATCAGAAGTAGTATCTTTGCGAATACCAATACCAATAGTCATTTAGATAAATCATTACTTATGTGTTTCGGCACTTTCGCATTGGTGTAACGAAATTGTTCTCGAAAACGAAAATAAACCCTTCATTTTATGTGTTGTACGCAATTTTACACTGGAAAATCGTAAAGGCACCGCCCTATCCCGAACACGAGCTTCGAACTGCAATCTTGTTATTGCAGGCGCGTAAAACTTACTAAAATTGTTTGGATTTATAAACAAAAAAATACTTTTTCCAAAATTTTTGAAACACAATTTTAGACACAATTTGTTTTTAAAAAATTCTCGAAGATGTCCAAGCAACAACGAAATCAAATGCATTTCGGTAACCTTAAAAATATTCGGACACAGAAGAATATCTTGCACTGAATTCTTATCTATTGTATATACTGTCTATGATAGTGTATATCTGGTGGAAATGCGGCCGCTTATCAGGCTCATACTCCCAGCACCTCAGCATTAGTGCGTACACGTCTTCGGGACATCCTTCCGGTGCTGGCATACGATATCCTAGAACAAACAAGTAAGTGGTTAGTATAAATTTAAGTGAAACTAATAGATTATTAGGTCTTTTTTGGGATGGACGGAATATGGTTTACCCGAAGTGGTTGCCGCTTAACCAGGAGGGAGACTACTAGGAACAGCCTAAGTGCCTTCCCAATAAGGCTTATAAGATCAAGGTCAGTTCTTTTTACGATTGCATTTATAACCGGATCGAAATAGGATACGAGAATAAAACATATGGTATTACTGCTATATCCAATTCTCCGATCTACCCGATGTGCACACGAAATTTCATGAGAATAGGTTGAGCCATTTCGGAGGAGTTTGGCAACAAACACCGCGACACGAAAATTTTATATCTTAGATTAACAAAATTCCCGCGACCTTCAGTAGGTCGTCAGTACACCTCATAGGATGCCTGCATATTCTGCGTTTTGTAGTGCATAGCAATTCACTGGTTGTAGGTGGCATAAGACCGATGCTGTGGCGAACCTTGGGTCAAGTCTATGTCCAGCAATGGACTGATGATGATGATGAACATAATCGAAATAAGCTTACCGGTATCGATTTTTTCTCTAGCCCTTGAATTGCTCATTCCCGCGTATGGCGTGTCTCCCTTTGCAAATATTTCCCACATCAATACTCCGTAACTCCATACATCACATAGCGAAGTGTATTTTCCTGAAAATTTTGAACATCATTAAGCGAGAATCATCTAATTGTTTGTTTCAAATAGATGTGTCGATCAAAATTAAAACAACATGTAAAAAATGTAGAGAATGTATGTGTTACTTTTAAATCGTTTGCCTTGTACACATCATTTTAAATCCTACCAAATGAAACGTACCTACATATTCAAATAAAAATATACAACATATAGGCAAATGAAATAATAAAATAAACTATTTAATAAAATATGCTAAAATAAAGTAAAACATATAGACAAACCGAAATTCAATGCCTCAGGTGCCGTCCACTTGATAGGTATTTGTTTCATTCCTCCGGAAACTATGTACTCCTCTTCTTCCCTAGACATGCCAAAGTCTGATATTTTCACAATGTTGTCGTCTCCGACGAGGCAGTTTCTGGCGGCGAGGTCGCGGTGAATGCAGTTCTTGGACTCGAGGTACCGCATGCCCCCCGCCGCGTCCCGGCACATCGCCATCAGCGTGCGAGAACTAAGCGCAGCTGCCCTCGTACGGAGGTATGTGAGAAGAGAACCTCCTAGAAGAAATATTGGGTAGACATTTAAAAAAAAACACACGACCATAGAGTTTCTTTGCAGCCATTATAGACAGACGAGCTCTTTATATTTGAAATATGAATGTAGCCTACTATTTGCATGGAATAAAAGGCTTATTATTATTACTGACTAGCTGACCCGGCAGACTTCGTAGTGCCTCAATCGATAAATAAAAGACCTAAACTTTTGTATAAAATAAACTTAAAACAAACAAAATGAATCCGTCCGACGGGGGGGACATCAAAAGAAAAACAAAATTGTTATTTTTATTTAATTCCGAGCATTTTCATATTTATCTACCTTTTAAACCTTCTCAGGACTTCCACATATAATTCAAGACCAAAATTTGCCAAATCGGTCCACCTGTTCACGAGTTTTAGCGAGACTCCTCCTCCTTGCGTCGGTTTCCTCATTACTGAGGGTCGTGGTCATGGCCTTGAAACAGTTTAAATGTTTCTCTGTCCATGACTCTCTTGGGATGTAATTGTGGTGGGTTCCCACGTCCTTCCACATCAGTATATCGAAGGGATTTAGTCCTTCACGGCAACTGGTCCCGCTCCGGGTCTCTGGTTGGATCCAGGGGCTGGGTTATTTCCCGGCGCCCAGTGCTCGGCGTTGACGTTTTACGGTAAGAATGTCCAGCTCTACTCAACCCAACGTTAGCGAGACTAACGAACAGCAATTCATTTTTATTTAAATAGATAGATAGACGAGCATACGTCTCACCTGGTGTTTAGTGATTACCGTCGCTCATGGACGTAGAAATGCCAGAGGCACAGCCTCTGCCTAACAAAAGCTTTTCAACTCCTTTACTTTAAATAGATAAATGAGTCCACAGCCCTCCTCGAATTAACTTATTACCAAAACCCATTCATATAAGGCCGCAACATAGTTGTAAGACGTGGAATGGAAGTTTCAATTTTACTTAAAATTCTACTAACCAATATATTACTGACTAAATAGACCTATCTCATAATTATTTCGTCATACGTATGCACGACTTCCCTCATTATCTATACTAATATTATAAAGAGGAAAGATTTGTTTGTTTGTATGGAATAGGCTCCGAGACTATTGAACCGATTGGAAAGATTCTTTCACAGTTTGGAAGCTACACTATTCCCGAGTGACATAGGCTATAATCTTTTTTGAAAAAAATTTGGGATCTTCACTAAAACTCCAATAATGTAATCCAAGGTGTAAAAAAATTACCTAAAATATTCTTTACATCGCGTGCCATACGGAAACTATTGATGCTAGAATAAAATAATGTACTACGACTTTGTAGAACACATTATTATTTACAAAAGGTGTCGCGACAGCTTATGTCTAACTATTATAGTTACGCCGCAATAAGTGTTCTTTTATTTTAAAAAATAAATGTCAAATATCGTTGGTTTTTGTTAAAGACCCGAGCAGAGCCGGAGCGAGCCGCTAGTTATAATATATATATTGGTTATATGATAATAGACGTTAAAAAGTGGAAAGCCGAATTGTGATGCATTGAAAACAAATCTGACAAAACACAGCGCACGATAACTCAATCAACAGACCCAAATCATATTGATCTCGATAACGAGTGGATTGTTTCGTCGATTTGTAATGAGATGTACTACGTAAGCTAATCTAAAAAAAACTAGTCGTTTAACTGCGTAAACAATTAATAATTTTCCTGCTTTAAATATCTAAATAGATTCAAACTACCGTTACTACGCCCGATTTAGTAAGATCAGTAAGTTAGTAACTAATTATTTATTTGTTTATGTATTCATCACTATCATAACTTTAATAGTCCTTTTCACATCAAAGTAAAATGCGGATATGTCTTTAATTTATAAATAATTTAAAAGAGTCTATAATTCCCGATTGTACAAGAAAAATATGAAACGAACACTTAAGAAAATAATTAAACAGTATTAGGAGGGCTTTGAACTTAACCATGAATATTTATTCTGACTATGCAACCGTTGACTGTGCTTCACGCTCTTCTCCAATTTTTAGACTTCCACCCACATGGAAAACTGTATTTATGTAGTAATCTGAACCCACACATCCAGTGTCTAAATATACGAATGACACAGACTTCCAGCTTACCCGCTCAAATTTCAATACGAGACATTATTTAAACAAAACAAATTAGTCCCTAATATAGCTCTCACTCATCTAGACGATAATTTATGCGCCAAATTCTAGTCTATTTTAATTTACATAATAATATATCAGTGCAGTTATTTATCAGTAGATAGATGTATTCGATTTCAAGCCATTTGACTTCATCTATAGTAGTTCCGTTCCGTTGTCCGCGATGGACACCTAAACTACTGAATCGATTTTAACTTTTTTTTTAAATATGTGTTTTGTTCCAACTTAGACCATAGGATGGTTTTTATTTCGATTAATGGTCGAAATATTTATTAGTTAACAATAAAATCATTTCATAATATGTTGATTATTGCTATTAATTGCAAATTTCATAAGTCTAAAACAGATGGCGCCTTAAATCAGTTTTTACAGACAATTGTAATACTGTCTAACATTAATATAATCTCATAGATAGCGCTGTGTTAAAAATACCAACGTTTCACATAAGTTACAATTTAATGGCATAAACACCACGTGTTGCTGAGGCTAAAGTATAAGTTAAATTTATTTCGCAGTAAACGCAATACAGTGAATTCCAATTGTTCTTACTTTGTTAATTTTTGGTATTAGCTAGCCGGCCACGTGTTATTGAGAAACAAAAACCTTGGCCACGGCAACGTGTGGCCGGGTCTGCTAGTGTCAATATAAAACATTATTTACATTTATGGCTGTAATCACAATCATGTGTAAGTTTTAATTGGATACCTAACCGTCGATTCAATGACGAAGGATTATGTTATTTGGGAAATTAGGCAACTGCTTTCTTTGGCAAGCGCACGCATGCCATTGAATTGCCACCAACTCCGGCACTTTTCAACTAAACAGGATAAACAAACAAAAATAGAATTTCGTGGTTTGTCTAATAGAGTACTGAAAAGATATATTCAAGCAATTTGGATTCGTTAGATTCACTTTTGCTTTTATTAATAATACCCATTAGTAATGTGAGTACTTAAAATAATTCGAAAATCTCTTAAAATAAATAAACAACTCGATACGCATAAAAATTCTGTTAAAAAACAATTACTGTCATTAGAGAGAGATAAAGAGTATTCTTTATTGTACACCAAAAAAACAAATAAACAGTGCGATACATTAAACACAAAAAGTACAATTGGCGGTCTTATCGCTAAGAGTTATTGTCATTATGTACAGAAAACGAATAAACGAACCAAACACTCGAAAATTGTTTCAGTCCATTACACTATCCCGTTTTAAACATGTCGATATTTTGCAGATGTAGAACTTAAGACACAGATATGGCCATATTATATGTGACGTGTTATCAATTTGCAGTAAAATCGGAATACTCGGATGAACATTAGATAGCCTTTTTAATTTAAAAAATGTTCTAGAGAATGATTTCATAAGATCTTTGCGTGAGCACTACCTAAAGTGTAATCACTAAGCACCAGGTGAGACGTATGTTCGTCTATCTATCTATTTAAATAAAAATGAATTGCTGTTCGTTAGTCTCGCTAAAACTCGTGAACAGGTGGACCGATTTGGCTAATTTTGGTCTTGAATTACTTCTGGAAGTCCAGAGAAGGTTTAAAAGGTAAATAAATATGAAAATGCTCGGAATTCAATAAAAATAATAATTTTGTTTTTCCTTTGATGAATCCCCCGTCGGACGGATTCCTTTTGTTTGTTTTAAAGTTTATTTTATACAAAAGTTTAGGTCTTTTATTTATCGATTGTGGCACTACGAAGTCTGCCGGGTCAGCTAGTAAGCAATAAAAATCATAATATTATTCTGGAAATTATAATAATTTGTACCTGAAACGAGCTCCATGACAATCATAATGGGTTGCTTCTGTACGGCGATGCCAATAAGCCGGACGATGTTAGGGTGCTGGTACTGCTTGAGGATCCGTCCCTCCTGTAGAAACGTCCGCTTCTGCTCCTCTGGTAGCGCAACCCTACACGTCTTCACGGCTACCTCCTGTCCTGTCGTCTTCAGACGCGCTTTATACACGTCACCGAAATTACCCTGTTCGAGAAATTTCACCATATTGTTACGCCATCTGTCGCCGAATAGTCGAACGAACATCGAAGGATCTAGTAGCACCTAGAACGCTGGAGAAGTACAAAGCCATCTATTGTCAGATAGCGGAAACATAACATTAGAGATGAGTGTAAAAAAAAAGTCGTTTTTGGAATGAAGTTCCTTATGGGACGATACGGTGAGGTATCCTAACCGGGAAAAAACGTCCGTAACGTAAACATTTTATTAGTAATGCACACAGTGTACGACTTAACTTTGTAATAACATTCAAAAATAACATATTTTTTTATCATTCATTGACCACGATCTCAGAGCGTTCGTTTGCGCAATACACTAACTCTTACGCAAACAACCGTGAATGAAGTGTACAACAATAAGTTCGCACGTTACCGAATGACCGTGGGTTGTTGCGAAACCTCCAGTTCTATTTTCTTTATACCTCGAATAGGACTTAAAATTAATATTTTTATAATAAGGAACTTCGTTCCTATCCGGTGTTCCACGACACCACACATCTTTTTATTTTATTATTTAGTTGATACAACCCAATATCGATCTTACCCTTCCAATCTTATCGAGCAGTTGTACATCATCGTTGTTGAGTTCCCAGTTCTCTCTGGGCACCGCGCGCCGCAGTAACGCGCCCGAACGCGCCGTCACGGGCACGCCGCTAGCCCTCTGCCACGCTATCAGCTCGGCCACGGACGGGAACGCTGCTCCTTCGAAACGATAGTGACCCTGGACATAAAAATTAACGGCATGTATACCAATCCGAAAAAGGGCTCTGTACCATCTGCTGGGAACGTGTTGTGAGCTTCTTCGGACACATCATGCGGTCTCCCAGACATGAGTTAGAGAAGCTCATAATTTAGTGTCGCTTAGAGGGCAAACGCGCTCGAATTCGAATAAAATGGAGAAAAAACTTATTTTAAACTTAAACATACCTCTGGCGTGGTCTGTACAATGAAGTGCTTATGCTGTCCCCAGCAAACGGATAACACTAGCTGCCTCGCGTGGTTCCTGGTTGTTTCACGGACTAGGTAGTCTCCGTCACTACGCAACAGCCTCACCACCTCCTCGCGTGGTAATACACCGTGGAACCACTCCTGTTCCACTAGAGAACGCTCTGTCTCACTCACGCTCACCTGAGAAATGTTTTGAAAAAATCTATTTAATTGTAATTGTGAGCATAAAATACGTTATAAGTATTTACTAACTAAGCATAATACAACAAAACAGAACAACGAAAACTGTCACAACAAACACAGGCTCAGACCATGCACGCGAAAGATATTAGCAGTGTCAACATGAAAAATAAAGAACACTTGAAATCGAACACAAAATATTATGCTCCTCATAATGTAACCTCGTATTCCTTTTCGAGTTCCAGCTGTAGTTGTTTCAATCGTTTCTTCCTACGAGGGATCACGTAAGGCGGCGGTAACTCGGAATGTGTTATATACATCGAAAACGGATCCATCAACTGTCCAGAATTTTATGATACTTAACGGGTCATGACCTACGCCTAGTTCACTTTGAACCGCACACTAAAACCACGAAATAACGTGGGAAAACAGGATGAAGTGACGCCAATATCTCAATCAGACTGAAACGCGCTCAGACGGTCCGTATGCAATGTTTTAGATATATAGAACGTCATAAGCGACTTCACCTTGATTTTGAAACTGAGTTTTAACGTGAGCGGGTGCTATTTTAATTTCATACAAAAGTGTAGGAGAGAAGTTCGTACTGTGCACGGTGACGCGAGAACTCGTGCTAAAATTAGAGACGACGAAAGACCAACGTTTTCTATTTGTTGTTCCGTGCTTCGGTGCGGCGCTGTGGGAGGGTAAGCGTCATGCAACTGGCGCACGCCGCGTCATGCCGCGCGGCCACATCGCGGTTAGTGGCACTCACCACACTGTTACGACAATGATCTACAACGCGACTCCTTCGCTTCCTCGTCGCGTGAACACGACAATGCACATAAACATCGAGGCGTTTTTTCAAGCGACGCTTCACAACTCGAATCCGTTTGCAGCGGATGGTCTGTACGGTTACCGTGTCCGCGGGGCCCTCGCTGCTGCTCCGATAAGTCTTTGGCGGTAAAGCGGGACTTGACGGCGCTGACTTTCGTCGGAACGGTCGTATGAATAGTCTGAAGAACGGCTTCGGAGGAATTATCGAGTGGAGGTGCAACCGTAACGCATCCATTGACGCTTTCGAGTCAAACGATGATCGACCCTGACGGTTGAACATTAATTATAAGTAGTGGTAGCCCAGCGATCGAAATTCGACAATTATTAAAATTATAAGCTTGAAAATTACTAAGGGTCTCTTGTCAAAGACTTTACATAGAAATGGAATGGAAAAAAAAATTCACACTCCCATGTCCGCGCAATTTTCATAAAAAGGGATACAAAGTTTTTGCTTCACATGTTAATATATAGATAGTGAAACTACCTAACAAATCCCTCATAAATCCACTCGCTACCAAATCGTTTATGCCTCTATATCATGATATCGTCGGCAAAACGAAGGTGAGTTATGTACTGGCCGTCGATGTTGATGCCTAGCCGTTTCCAGTCCAAACTCTTGAAAGCATCCTCCAATGCAGAGTTGAACAGTTTCAGAGAAATAACATTTTGTCTCACGCTACACTACAGAAGGATGGATTTCAAGCCAGGTTCTGTAATCCGACTGACATAATGGTATTTTTGTACAAACACTTCAACGCTTCCGGTGATCAACTTGGCACAGTTGAAGATTGCAGTACAGTCCAAATCTCGATCGAATCGACGGGTTTCTCGTAGTCCACCTAAGCGAAGCGGTAGGCTATATTCCTCGGCATTTTGTAAAACCTGCCGCAGCGTGTGTCTTGTATTTTTTTTAATGCTTAGATGGGTGGACGAGCTCACAGTCCACCTGGCGTCAAGTGGTTACTGGAGCCAACGTAAATGCCGCCACACACCTTGAGATATGAGTTTTAAGGCCTCAGTATAGTTACAACGGCTGCCCCGCCCTTCAAACCGTAACGCATTACTGCTTCACGGCAGAAATAGGCAGGTTGGTGGTAGCTACCCGTGCGGACTCACAAGAGGTCCTACCACCAGTCAATTAGTCCAGTCAAACAGTTCATTATTATCTGCGAACATCGGAATACGTTACCTGATGATCGGGAGAGCTTCCGTCTAAGCTGTCAACGCCGACTGTCTCGGCCGACAGATCCGGGCAGCCGCTGGGTGCTTCTTCACATCCTAGTTCGGCCAACGCGGATCGTATCATCTCCGCTTGTTTCGCACATTTGCGTTCTGCTACGCGTAACTCTAACAACTTTATGGGCTCCGATGTTGTGACGGGAATCGGCGGAGGAGAGTGCCTGTCAAAGAAAATATCAACTGTGAGATTCTTTCAAATAGCTCTTTTTTTATTAATTGAAATACTTAAAGCCCTATGTCTAATACACTAACAAAATCAGGACTCTTCATACTTTGACTATCCCTAGATTAAAAATCGTGCAATAAAAATCAAACCAAAATTATAATTTGCGTAATTTCTGGTGCTTGGGCGTCTTGTGAGTCCGCACGGGTAGGTACCACCACCCTGCCTATTTCTGCCGCGAAGCAGTAATGCTTTTCGGTTTAAGGGTGAGGCAGCCGTTCTACTGTAAAAACTGAGAACTCATATCTCAAGGTAGATGGCGACATTTACCCATTTACCCACCTAAGCAATAACAAAATGTAGTACTTACACCGTTACACGCCACTCCGTGTACTTATCATAGGTAATATTGGGATTTTGACAAAAAGCTTTCCTGAAGCACTAACAACAATTGCACCGGAGTTTTAAGTTAATCAGATATACCATTTTGGAGAGCATTGATCACGAACAAAGACAAAAATATTCATTTTCATAATTACTAGTAATTAATATAATTGGAAGTAGATTAATTTGTTATAAAAAATAAACATTTTTGAGCTGAATTTCTTTTGTATATCCATCGACATACCTGTCGATTCCATTTACGCCGTTCGTGAGTCCGGTATTGTTGTTTTTGCAAACCCCATTCCCTATAATTTCTGGTCCCTGCAAAGCGGTCTGTTTCTCTCTGTTGTCCTGCAATGTTGCCTCCAGCTCTGTGAGTTTCTCTTTCAGCCACTCAACTGTGAGATTATCGACTGTCAGTTGATTTGGTTGTAATTTACCGCTCGTGTCTTCCACTAGGCTTTCGTCAAATGTAAATATCACTGGTGTCGATGGAGGCGATCTGGGAAAGAATAAAATAATAATTTAATAATGAAATGCAATAAAAATCGATTATAGCCTTTTGTTTACAAATACAGCTAGATTTACGGACAAAACATAAAGCAGAAAAGTATACAAATTAACTTAAATGAAAAGGCAAAGAGGTAGGTATACAAATACAAGTATGATTTAGCTGATATTTCAATCACTGATTTTCTGTCAACCTCATGTGGGATTCGTAGTTTGGGCGGCCACGTGTTAGATACTTCTTGCAACTCAGATAGAGTATGTAATGAACAAAAATGTTTCTCTTTCACACACGATTTTAGCCTTCTCTCATAAAACATGGCCGTAGTCAGACTGGCTTGACTTTTCCTACATTGGAAACGGTTGTCACAAGGTGCCTATTTGATTTGTGTTGAATTTGTTTTTATTTAATTAAATATGTATTCACTAACATAGCTTTCAAGATTAATTGTAACCGTTATGACTAATGTTTGCTCAATGATCATAATTTGGCCATTATCGAACACAATAAAATTTAGATAAATTTTATATATGACATTTTCTCTTTTGTCTCTACACTATCGTTTAAAAAAATCGTTATGTGGTTTTTTATTATTATTTATTTATTTACGATTTAACACAAAAGATTACCAATGGGTACTGAACCAAATAATGATTTAATTTATATAAGAAAGAGAATTTAAGTCTCTGTAACCTGAAATGAGGTGATAAAAGCAACAAATTGTATATAGGAGGGTGAGTGTATACATATGTAGGTACCTAAGCTTATTCACGTACTTCTTTTGACTAGTAATATATCTTAATTATCGAGAATGGATAGAATACGGAATGAATATGTTAGAGAAAGTCTGAAAGTGGCACCTGTGACAGAGAAGTTGAGAAGTACGCGTTTGGGATGGTATGGACATGTGATGAGACGAAATGAAAATGAGGTTGGTAAGAGATTGATAACTGTGAATGTGAAAGGACATAGAGGAAGAGGTAAACCTAAGAAGAAATGGATGGATTGCGTGAAAGACGATATGTGTAAGAGAGGAGTGAGCGAAGAAATTGTATATGATAGAGGAGTACGGAAGGAGAAAACATGTTGCAAAGACCCCAGGTGACTGGGAGAAGGGCAGGAGAATGATGATGATATCGTAATTAACGATACGTTGTTCGTATATCGATATGCGCACCTTAAAATTAAATAAAAACATTTGTAGTAAAGCAAGTCCGCTAGCGTTAAAATAGAATTCCATTAACTAAATCTGTATGCGAACATTGTATAATTTAATTTTAAACATCGATGGTGTTTGCTAACTGCGGTGAATGTAGTAGGATCGGATTCTAAAAACGATAGCAGACATTTATGTTAATTCAGGGTTGCATACTTTCTACAAAATCTTCTTACGGATACGGATTACGATCCAATTATTTTTCAACGAATCATTTAGAGGAAATACCTACTTCCTTTTCTTACAAACGTCATTTGCGGTAAGATAAGTAATGAAGGTCATTAGTTTTAGTGATAAAAATGAAGTCATCGGTTTATTTTTAAGTGATTGTTATTTGGTGTCTACTTTCTGAACGGGCTCCGCAGGGATTCGGTAAAGATTGTTGTTGAAAATAATCGTTATTGGCCGTCTGATTATCTATAACGGAATAGGAGATTCCATCTCGAAGCTTTTTAAATATAGAACGTTGGTTATTAATGACTTATTTAAAATAAAGATAACATTACGTATTTATTATTGCATAATAATGTATTTGAACATTAACAAATTGTTAATCTCAATTGTTCACTATTACTAATGTACCTCGACTTTAGAAGCGAAAGAGCATATCAATGATTTCAACTTTACCAATTTTAATTGGTATAGGTAACAATCTAAGATATCTATAGGATTTATTAAAGTAATTCTCGTAAAACATACAGTCTTAGAGGAAAGCTAATTTGCAAAGATTAAATCCCAGTTCTGCCTCTTATTTTTCTTTTAATTTTTTTTCGTACCTAATCATTGATAACTTACGGAGCCATTACAACTACGCGCTGACGGGTATGTGACCTCACGGGTTCAGAGAATTTGCTAACATATTGTGAAACATATTATATTGCTATTAAACAAGTAATTATTATTTTATGTAAATAGTATTTCGAGGTTTTACAAAGAATATTCACACGACTTTATAAAAGGTTCCGAGATTCGTAAGACGAAGAACGTGATCATGACATTTATAAATACTTAGTGCGTGTAGTGAATCTAACTACTAAATAACCACTTAACGATTTGCGATGCACTGGCCTTTACATTTTATATACAAACAAAATTTGCATTTTACGCATTTTAGAAGTCGTCGTGGCCTAAGGGATAAGACGACCGGTGCATTCGTGTTGAGCGATGCACCGGTGTTCGAATCCCAGGCGGGTACCAATTTTTCTAATGAATTACGTACTCAACAAATGTTCACGATTTACTTCCACGATGAAGGAACAACATCGTGTAATAAAAATGAAACCCGCAAAATTATAATTTGCGTAATTACTGGTGGTAGGACCCCTTGTGAGGCCGCGCAGGTAGGTACCACCGCCCTGCCTTTTTCTGCCGTGAAGCAGTAATGCGTTTCGGTTTGAAGGGTGGGACAGCCGTTGTAACTATACTGAGATCTTAGAACTTATATTTCAAGCTGGGTGGCGCATTTACTTTGTAGATGTCTATGGGCTCCAGTAACCACTTAACACCAGGTGGGCTGTGAGCTCGTCTACCCATCTAAGCAATAAAAAATAAATAAAAAATATGTTTTATTAAGAACTCACTTGTACTTCTCTAAGAATTCTTTGTACTCGTCTTGTGGCCTCAGATTCTGCACTGTAGTCTCGACTTTGGTCTGGATCTCCCTGAACTTTTCGGTGCTATAGTCTGAACGCTGCACTACTTCTAAAAGGATCCCTTTCCTGTTCGAAGAAGTATGAATAGTAAAATGTATTGTATTAAATCAACAAAAATAGACTATGTAGACTTTCTAGAATATGAGTAATATAAAAACGCAAACAAAAACACAAGTAAAAGACATGTTTCAATGTAAAAATTATTAGGATGAATGCGTAGATGATACTTGGTTGCGGTATAATCGCGACCGGCATGGCGGCAGCGTCTTCATGGTGCCTGACTTTTGAGATGTCCATGAACAACATTGACTGCTCACCATCCGACATAGGCTGTTTACTAATTTAATTATCTTGAATTTAATGAAAAAACTGTTTTTTTTTTTCGAAATAAGAGGTATTAAACACCGTAATACTAAAAGCTAAAAACTGAAAAACAATTTAACTAGTTACGCTAGACCTAGGACTAGTCATAGAGCCTCTTGTGAGCCCGCATTTGTAGCTACTACCGCCACCTTACCTATTTCTGCCACGAAGCAGTAATGCGTTCCAGTTTGAAAGGTGAGGCAGCCGTTCTACTATAACACTGAAGCTGAGAACTCATGTTTCAAATAGGCGGCAGCATTTGCGTTGCTAATGTCTTGTCTATGGCAACTATGATTTGTCTAAATGGTTTGTCTATAGTCACTATTTAAGACCAGATTGGCCGTGAGCACGTTCGCTGACTCATCTAAACTTTAAAAAAACCTAATGACCATTGATAATCAGTGAAAATGCAGCGTGAGCTCCAATAAAGGTTAATTATTGACTCAGTGACACCGCGCGTGATTCTTCTACTAAATCGCAGATACGAAACACTAATAATATTCATGCTTAAGCGACAGGATCTTTGTGTTTCGTGGATCAGCAGTCACACATACCAAGAAGTAGCAGTAGCTTAACCCTGGCGACGTTGCTGTTCTAAGTCACACATACCAAGAAGTAGCAGTGTTGCTGTTCTAAGTCACACATACCAAGAAGTAGCAGTGTTGCTGTTCTAAGTCACACATACCAAGAAGTAGCAGTGTTGCTGTTCTAAGTCACACATACCAAGAAGTAGCAGTGTTGCTGTTCTAAGTCACACATACCAAGAAGTAGCAGTGTTGCTGTTCTAAGTCACACATACCAAGAAGTAGCAGTGTTGCTGTTCTAAGTCACACATACCAAGAAGTAGCAGTGTTGCTGTTCTAAGTCACACATACCAAGAAGTAGCAGTGTTGCTGTTCTAAGTCACACATACCAAGAAGTAGCAGTGTTGCTGTTCTAAGTCACACATACCAAGAAGTAGCAGTAGCTTCCCCCTGGCGACGTTGCTGTTCTAAAAGCGCAGGGATGGCTGCAGTCCGAAGGGCTCGTTCGCATTCAGTCGCCTCAGCCAACAATAACACATACTCGTTGTGTGCCCGATGGAGTCTCCTGCACGCTTTGCCATATTTGTCTCTCGTCTCATCTAACTTTCTCCCTCCCCTGCTAGTTGGACCTGAAAACCACGATGGAGATTTTTTCTAACTTAGTTGACTTTACAATTTTTTTTATTGCTTTTTTTAGCAGATTAGCGTACGGCCCTGATGGTAAGTTGTTACCGTCGCTCATGGACATCAGCAAGCCAAGCCGCTGCTTACAGTTGAATACTCTCCACAAGTCTCGTTTGAAGAAGAACATGTCATAACGCTCGGGAAACACCGTGGAGGGGAGTTCATTCCAAAGCCGGATGGTACGTAGTAGAAAAGGTCTTTAAAAACGCACTGTTGATGAACGTAGCGGTTTCAGATAATAAGGATGAACTCTGCTCCGATGGCGGCGGGTGTGATGATAAAAAGGAGATGAGGAAATCATCTCGATTAATTCCTCAAAGAGTTTCACATGGAATATATTTCCATAAAAAATTAAACAGTATAAAATAACTGTTTAATACAAACTCTATAAATTAAAAGTAAAATAGACGGTAAGGAGTAATAACTTAACAGCGTTGAAATATGAATTATCAAATATAACTTACATTTGAGATAATTCTCTTCGAACTTGGCCCGCATCTGTTTGTAAGACTCAAGGCACTTTTGGTACTCGCTCTGTTTTCTCTGCACTTCTTCGGATAGCTGCAAACAAGATTATAAATTTATTGGAGTGCTTCGAAATGTCTCCTTTCATCTAAACATCTTTCGTTTTCTGATTTAATATCTATTAAAAATGCCGTCAACAGTTGGTTCATTTAAGAGTAATTTTACTGTTGGAAGACCTCTTGTGAGTCCGCACGGGTAGGTACCACAACCCTGCCTATTTCTGCCCTGAAGCAGTAATGCGTTTCGGTTTGAAGGTTGAGGCAGCCGTTCTAACTATACTGAGACCTTAGAACTCATATTATTATTACAAGGTGGGTGGCTGCATTTACGTTGTAGATGTCTATGGGCTCCGGTAACCCCCCGGTAACACCAGGTGAGCTCGTCCACCCATAAATGGAATAAAAAATAAATAAAAAAAAATTCTTAAAAAAATTAAGTCGTATAAAGTCTTGAATTTGTAATAATATTTAGGCCGGCTGAGCTCTTCTGTCGACTGACAGCGGCAACACTAACTAAAACTATCGTCGGTCAGTTCGGAGATAAATTCAATCAAAAAGAGTAAAAAGGTAAAATGTTCTTCTGAAATATTTGCGGTCATAAAGGTACTTGAAGCTTCGTCAACTCTCGTCTCAAATATTGCTCCCAGTTCTAAAATCCAGCTATCAGTTGTTTTATTTGATTCCATGCGTACTTGCAAATAGGTTATTAAATATGTTATTAAGTATAATAAAAAGATTTAGATAATTTATTACTAAATTCAAGTTCAATAACTATGTGCACCGATTCAGGTAGTCCATTTAAATACATTTACATATTTCCGTAATTGTACACGTAGTACACCCGAAGGTACTCTTATCACTTCCGTAAATTTGGCCCAAAATAAAAACCATATTGAAACAGCTGTGCTACATCCTACAAAGAACGTTTAGTTTAGATTAATTTAGAATTCATCAGCTAATATGTGTGGGACGAACAATACGTATCTAAGATCTAAAGGTTATGAATTTTAATGTAGGCAATTTATTTTTCTTGTACATAGTTACACCAGTATGCCAACTTCTTTTGTTTTCAGAAGACGTCCATTTGATTTATCTAGTTTATAGGTAGCCTCGACAAAAATAGGATAGCCTCGACAACTGTACAGATTTCAAAAAGGCGGAAATCAATGGAATGATTGAAATAGGTACGGGATTAAAATGTAAACTTATGGAAGCGCGTTTTAAATTAACCACAAAAACCTCTTTTCTCTTAAAAGTATTGAATATCTTTCTTGTCTAGAAACTTCAACGCTGCAGGTCACGGCCACACTGTGACATCACTTTCTCTCTAATGATGTCACACATTCGACGTTCCACAACATTTATTTAGTATGCTTAGTGTGAGTTTTTTAACGTTCTCGATAGCGTTAAAGTTAACTCAAATTTGTATGGACTCGGAACGTTTGCCGCTAGGAGCGCTGTTTCAATTGCATACAAATTTGAGTTAACTTTTACGATATCGAGAATGTTAAAAAACTCGCACTAAACACATAGAAACACAACACGATTTTGTGTGATACCGATCTTGTGAGATAAGTGAGTATGTTTTTTTTTGTATTTATATTACAATATCGAGGGGTGTAAAGCTATGTGGGTTAAGCGACATTTCTTTTAATACGCGACATTTATCTTTGTAACTAAAGGTCCGTTTTATTTGGTATTACTCGTAGTATCAAAAATTCGATGCTATTAATTTAATTGCAATTGAGTTTACCTCGTTCAAAGGGAGAAGCTGAAAAAGTTATTTGTTATATATATATATATATTATTATTATCCAAATTATAAACTATAAATAGCTCTTCTGTAGAGTTGCAAAACTGTCGTTTAAACAAAAAAGCCTTTCACCCCTCGATATGTATCTCTATTATAAACTTAAAACAAACCTTAAATAAATCTTATTTAATTCAACAAATTGAATTTGATGATTACCCTATTCAGCTTTCATCAACATTTTCTCACGGCCATTTCTGTGTCTGCTAATTAAATAAAGACATGATGACACCAACTCAATGTTTTCAACAGTTATTAGTACGCTGTTCCGTGTTTTACAACCGTCATTATTAACAATTAAACGCTAATCTTAAATTACAACGTGTACCGTAGCATCAAGTGTATATGCATACAAAAAAAAACTGTTTGTCCATGCAGTGTTTGGTTTTGCTTATAGTTCTCGTTTTATTTTATTACATCATTGCGGTAAGTTATGTTATGAGGAAATAGTATAAGTGGGTCCAAATTTTAATTTTATTCGTAGAGACTTTTCTTTGGTGACTTTAACAGCCGTCTGGTGTAGTGGTAAGTGACATGGTCACTACACAAGCGGGTCGCGGGTTCGAGTCCCGCCAAGGGAGTATATTTGTATAATTAATATTTATATTTTATTATAGTAAATATTACATATTAATTAAAATATATTTGTATGATAAATATTAAGTAAATGTCTTTTCCAGGGTTATGGATGTATATTAAATATATGTATGTGTATAATAAAAATCTTACATTTATTTCCGTTATCTGGTACCTGTAACGCAAGTTCTTTACGAACTTAGCACGGGACCACTTAACGTGGCGTGATTGTTGAATATTTATTATTATTATTATTCAAATATCATATACCAGCCAAAAATTTGTTTACAAACAAATAATTTATCATCGACAAGTGGAGTCAAAACTTTTTAGGTGTAGGCACTTAGCCTTAAGAGGTATCCGGAAATGATTCAAATATTTGTGCTCACTTCTGAATTACTAACTAGGTGTAAACAAAAAAACGCATACTCATATCTTAAGTATACTTAAAGAAGTTATTTTTTTCGCATTTTTTTATTTTGTTTTTGTTATATTTTTTCATACTGTCTTGTTGCGTCCTTATCATTAAAATTTAAGATATTACATTTTATGAATAACAATATTATCACATGAGAGTGACGATAAAAGTCTTTTCGGCTAGAAGAAGATAATGAATAAAAAGAAGGACAAAGGAAGATAACAGAAGAAGATAAAGTTGTACCCCGGTCTCTAGAGTAACTTCTACAACTTCGGTATGATCCGTCTATTGTACAATACAAATAGCCACAAGGTAACTATTGTTCTACCTACATTCGAATTTCAGAAATTCTATTGAAAGGCCACACCTTTACTACTTATATTTTACTACTTGATACTAATATCTCCCTCGCGAATAAAGTTTTCCTTAGACCGATTTTTTACTCTCCTGTACCAGTAAACTGAGTCACTCATCTCGTTAAGTATTTCGAAGTACATAATATATTGTTATTTTATAAAATGAAAATAATAAAAACTACTCGAGTAAGAACGTTGAGTCGTTTCGGTAATCATTAACAAAGTTTTTATGAAATGAATCACACCAATGCCTACAATGCATAAATAAAAATATGATGATGCTAATTTAACGTTTAGATATACAACAGGTATGTTGTTGATGTTTTCTAAAGTAAAGATCTTTCATTCAGCCAATATGTGGTCATTGAAACCAATATTACGAAATTTAAGTATTTACCAGGTTTCCTCTATTCACCAAAAGGCATATTGTGAGAATATTAAGACTTAAGGTCATGGTCAAAGCTATACTAAGGTATACTATGAAAGGTATACTATGAATGAAGACCCATCCCCAAAATTTTCAAACATTTAGGTTTTTTTTTTTATTGCTTAGATGGGTGGACGAGCTCACAACCCACCTGGTGTTAAGTGGTTACTGGAGCCCATAGACATCTACAACGTACATGCGCCACCCACCTTGAGATATAAGTTTTAAGATCTCAGTATAGTTACAAAGGCTGCCCCACCCTTCAAACCGAAATGCATTACTGCTTCACGGCAGAAATAGGCAAGGCGGTGGTACCTACCCGCGCGGCCTCACAAGAGGTCCTAACACCAGTACATTCTTATTTTTGGTGATTGAGAAGGATGCTTATGATCTATATAATTTCTTAAATTTTAATCATATAAACTCAGATATTACTTTGTTAATATAACTACATATTTGTATGGACTGTAAAATTTAATATTATAAAATAATATATAAATGTAACATGGCACGCTTTAAAAATGCTTTTTCAATTTTGTACAGTTTCACACATAACTCTAGTCAAGTGCTAAAATATAAAAAAAATACCTTTACAGCTATTGATTTGGAATATGACAGGCGGACAGACAGACACAGTTGTGATCGGATAAGACTACTATCCTTTTATTGGATGTACAAAACCTTTAATAGCCAGACATGATGTGTAATTAGATGTCTAGCTTAGCAGCAACTATCAATGTTTTTTTCAATAATACACATATTAAAACGAATAAAAATTGTGAATTTTTGACGATTTTAAAGACTGAAAGGTTTTCCGTATGTTTATGAAATATTTACATATTTGCAGAGTAAACTCGAATATCATTATTATAATGCCTTAAGTACAGTTAACTAGAATTTTATCATTTTTATGGATCACGGAGCGGGTTCTTAACTTTTTAGACGTCTCCATCTTCCGAGAAAGATTTGAATCGCTCGCATTTAAATTTAAAAGTAAGTACACGGTAAAACAGTTTTGATTACGCGGGTATCGCTAAAACAGTTTAATGTCCGAAGCCCACACGCTGCGATGTGATTACTGAAACACATAATGCGAACACATTAAATACGCCAATACTGAAACACCGCATAACTAATCACTGCGTATCGAATGCTTCACTTCGTTTTATGGCCACACGACGACCTTATCGGTTAAAAGTCCTGTTTCAAAATTAAACTTCAATCTATACTAATATATAAATCTACAATGGTTTTTATGGATGTTCCGTTATAACTACTGAACCATGCATCCGATTGACTTGAAACTTGATATCCATGTAGAAAATACCTGTACTTAATGGATAGGATAATATTTGTATGAGTGTTGGACTCCCTACACCAGTTGTGGGGGCGTTAATGATGAGAATCTTTGTGGGGATGAGAAATAAAAATGTTAATTTTAAATGGCCTG